AAATTGGCCCATTCACAGCAACGTGGATGGACCTCGAGGATATTATGTTAAGCGAAATAAGCCAGTCAGAGAAAGACGAACTCTATATGACTCCACTCATAGGTGGAAGTTAGTATATGGACAAGGAGATCTGATCGGTGGTTACCAGGGAAAAGGGGGGGGTGGGGGGAGGGCACAAAGGGGGAAGTGGTGTACCCACAACATGACTAACAAAAATGTACAACTGAAATCTCACAAGGTTGTAATCTATCATAACATTAATAAAAAAATATAAAAAAATAAAAAGTGGAGAACATTTCCCAAATTGAATCGTAAATAGTTAGGAAAATGAAGTAAGAGCCAGAGGGATTCTACGTTGTTGCTTTCGAATATGCACAGAGGAGGCCAAGAGCCAAGGAATGTTGGCAGCCTCTGAAATTTCCTAAAGCCAGGCACAGATACTTCTTCAGAGCCTCCAGAAGGGAAGGTAGCATTGTTGATACCTCAATTTTAGCCCAGTGAGACTTTTGCTGCGGTTCTGACATACGGAAATATAAGATAATAAATTTGCATTATTTCTGTGGCTAAGGTTGTGGTATTATGTTATATACATAATAAGAGAAAACTAATGAAGAAATGAATGAAAACGATAATAATGGCAACAGGCATTGAGGGATTACCATGTACCAGACACACCTTTGTGTCTTATGTGTGCTTTACATTATTTAACACTGTTTTCCCACCATCTTGGTAGACAAAATTGTTCTCATATTACATTAAAGAATCTGAAGGACAGAGAGTGTAAATGTCCTTTCCCGAGGAAAGGCAGCCAGGAAGGAGTATATCTTAGATTTGATTCTAGGATAGTTTGAGACCTGGCTCCATTCTTCTCAACACTTTTCCTCTCAGGGTGATTAAACAGAAACTTGTTACAAGTCTCTAGTATCTATATTTTGTCCATGTTATATTTCATATACTGCTGGTGTCAATATATCAATCAATATTGATGTCAGAAGATCGGGTGAAAAGATGCAGCTTCAGGAGTTTGACAAGAGGAAGACAATGCCATCGATGCTTTCCCAGACTCATCTGCCCACAGCACAATGGCCTTGACTCTGCTGTGATTGAGAGAGCGAGGAGGGTCTCGGACATCCAACAAGTCCTGGTGAAATATCATGACTCTTTTCCCTCACCCCATCAAAGTTCTTCAGTTTCTTTTCTTTCACACACTTTCTCCTCAGATGATTAAAAGGCCTGAAGGACAGTATGATATCCTCAAATTAGCTAAGTCAGTGATTCTGTGTTCTAAAGCCAACAAGTTTAGCTTTCCAACAAAGATTTCCTCTCATAGAGCATGTTGACCCCTGCCATGTTTCCTGTTGTGTGAACTCTCAGAATGGACCCCTGCAGCTTAGGCCCCATGCATGCCCGAAGTCACACAGGAGGCCCCACTCCAAAAATTCCACCCACTGAGTTACTCTCTGGTGGTTCTATTTACATAAAACTAGCAGTTCTTGGCTCCTTCTGTACCTGCTTCAGGGGTTCTGAGCCTCTGGGACTGACCACCTATGACCTCCCAGCAGTGTGTGCTTGCCGGTGGACATCTGGACAAAGTGTACTGACTCTTTTGCTATTGAATCTGTTTCTGCCTGATGATTTGGATAGTAATAAATTACACTTGAGCAAGTGTGATATGATTTCTTGGGGAAAGGTCAACAAAGACCAGAAACAAGATTTTATTTTGAAAGAAACTATAGAGAAGAATGTAACTCCAGTTTAAGCAGCCTCTCAGCAGTTCCTGCAGCGAGGCCCTGTGGTCCATTTTCACTTCTTATCGTCTATTTCTTCTCCATTTCTTGCTCCCTTAACCTGAGCAATGCTCCTTCTCTTTGCTCTTGGCACATGCCCTGTGCTTTCATACCTGTCACATTTCTTTATTACAAATGGAGTAGGACTTAAGGAAGAAGGGATGGGGGGTCAGCTTGCTGAGGTTTTTCCACTTCCCAGATTGTTATATGACATAAGTCAGTATCATAATACAATGGTGCTGTTGGCCCTCTATCCTCCCTGATGGCTTGCTGTGCTCACATACTTGTACAAGACCAGTATTTGCATCTCCTGGTGTCACGCTTCAGCATATCCTCCAGTCCTCCATGTCATGCCATCTTGTGCATGTCCAAAGATCTCAAGCCCACAAGCTCCCAAAGAACACTTACTCATGCAGCCCGTGAGCCTCCCCAGGCATTTCAAATATTATCTTTATAGGTGTTATTCGTGACTTTCTCTTCAGCTGAGGGCTGCAATGAATGAGAGGTGCATTTGTCAAAATGTGTAGATGTGCACGTAATTCTTTATCTAGATTATGCATCAATAAACTTAAGAAAATTCAAATATTAATAAACTACAAAGAATGTCAAAACCTCATCATGTTGACAGATTCTATTTTTACCTTCATTCAGTTCCTCTTCCCATCGCATTATTTTTATTTCTATAATTGCAATTAATGTTGCTTTAAAAATTTAGATGTTCTTGTAAAGTAGGGTTAGACGATTCATACTTTGAAGGTTTTTTAAATGTCAGAATTTTATTTGTAAAGCAGTGTTAAATACTGCTGCGTTTTTATTCCTAATAAATAGTACTGAAAGTAATATGTAGAAATAATAACAATAACTCCTAAAGATCTTCATTTCCTTTTCCCCAAAACCTGTGAATGTGTTATCTCACCTGGCGGAAAGGACTTTGCGCATGTGATTAAGTCTGAAGATCGTCAGAAGGAAAATTTTTTCTGGGTTATCCAGGTTGGTCCAATCCTAAAATACAAGTCCTAAGACCAGAGAACCTTTCCTGGCTGTACTCAGAATTAATTTTAACAATGGAAGGAGGACATCAGAGTGATGATATGTTATTTGCTTTGAAGATGGAAGAAGGTGTCCAAGAGCCAAGGAATGACAGTGTCCTATAGAATCTTCAAAAATAAGGAAATAGATTCTCCCTTAGGACCTCCAGTGGGAAAGCGGTGATGTTGGCACCTTGATTTTAGCCTAGTTAGACCCATTTGGGACTTCTGAGTTACATAACTGTAATGTAAATAGATTTGTGTCACTTTAAGCTGCTATGATTGTGATGCCCTCTTACAGCAGTAAGAGGAGTGAATACGTAACGATTTTGGAGACTTATGAAAACAAAACATGAGCGATATGTATTGAGTCATTAGTGTGTGCCACGTACTTCTCCAAGTGCTTAAATTTTAATACTGTATTTTGAGGAACAGAGATGATAAATATCCTGATCTTGGATGCCACAGTGTGGGAGGAACGTATCTCCGACTTGATCCTAGGGTAGTTTGAGGCTGACTTCATTCATTTCAACATTGTTCTTCTCAGGGTGATTAAAGAAGAACTTCTGGGGAATCTTGAACACGTGTTTCCATGTTCTATCAATATTATATTGATACTTTGATGGTGGCAATGTCAGCAGGCTCACATGAAGCAGATCAGGTCATAAGGTCTGAGGCTGGTGGGCATGGACATAGAATGCTTATAGAAGATTCATTAATCTTCAACTTGCATCTGATTTTCCTACAAATCAGGCTAAGAATGTCAATAAAATTAAATGGGAAAAAAGCTTAGAAAAAACATAATTCCTCGTCCTGAGTAAGTGAATCATGGCTGCCTCTGTTCTATAGCTTGATTCCTGCTCCCAACTTGTCCTACCTGCCTCAAGTTTTCTGCCTGAAGGAAGACACAAAATATCTACAGTTGTGGTATATTGATCCATGGTGTGGCTAGGGTTTACTGTAATCACTAAAAGGGTCAAGTTTCCTTCCTTTCCTTTGTGTGTGGCTAACACAGGATTTGACATTTTCCTGTTTATCAAAGGGTCCTACTTGGTTTTCCAGGGCATGGTGTGGGAATTCCCATGCCAAGAATGGTGCCCACCATTCATGGAAGGAAAGAGGAATGATGATCTAAGAGTTCCCTTTGGAAGTAAAAGTGCATGTAGCTAAGAAAAGATGATGATCTGAAAGTCTGATTAAGAAACTCTTAAAGCCCCAGCTACTTCCATCTGTTTCCTCTTCCTCACTTTGCTATATGGCCAGAGCTTGATCTGTAGAAGGATTTAGAGTGAGAGGTGTGGCTCATAGGCCCATGAATGTCCAGGCCACACCCTCCTGAGGATGATTATCCACTCTTGAGCTTTGGCTCTCTGCAGAAGCTTCCAGACTGGCAAAGGTAGGTAGGAACTCAGTGTGAGTTCTACCATTAGTCTCTGGGGAAACACTCCATTTCCCCCAGGGCCACAGAAATTGAGGCTGGTACATGTTTTGACAAAATTCGCCCTATCTTAGACATTAGTGGGTGGAATGGAGTAAGTTTTGCTGTGAGAGAGTTGTAATTTACCTCTCCTTCATGCCTTTTAGGTCTCCACCATGGAATGCACCCTCCTGCTGACCTCTGCTGTGGTGATGTCCCTGTTTGTCACCCCTGCTGTACAGGATTGTAATTGCTTCCAGGATCACCTTCAAACTATTTACTGCAACTCAGACGTTGGTATGCCTGGATGGACCCAAGAAGAGCCACCACCATGGGTCCCATGGGGATTCTCACCCGAGGTTACTGGAGGGCAAAAAATCTCCTCCTCTAAAAGGTGGCTAGACAGGGAAACTCATTGGTTTCCATAAACTCTGTCCCTTGGAGGCTTGGATATCGGTGAATGAGGAGAAACTTGAATGCCTAAACATGAGGAGGGGCAGAGTTTTTCCTGACTATTTTTTTCTTACCCACAGTCTTTGTTGGTAAATACCTGAGAATCCTCGATCTTAGCACATCCAAGCTGCTTTATGATATCACCATTGTCCAGGTAAATCCAGCATCTCCTCCCCAGATTCATCTTCCCACAGACACACAAGACCCTGGACCTTGCTGCGGCGGGAGGAGTGAGGAGGTCTCAGAAGTGCAGTGGGTCCTGGTGATGTAGCAAGCCCACAGTCCACCACCCCCTCAGAGCTCCTCCTTTCCAAATGACTTTCCTGCTTTCTTCTCACAGATGATCAAGGGCCCTGCACCCTTGCAATTTTTTGAATATGCATCAATTTTTGCCTGTAGTCATGTCCATTCGAAGATGTTATATTCTAACGACGAGTATCTCATATGGGGTGAGTTGACCTAACCCAAGCCCCGTGTCCACTTAGCCCCTGCATGGACTCCTTGACGTGAGACACATTCGTGAAGATGATGACACAGTAACTCCTGCCCCAGAGCCTCTCCCCATGGAATTTTCCACAGGATACTCTGTCCTCTGACTTGGCTGAATCTATACCTGCCTGGGGGTGTCACGAGACTCTGAGTCTGAAACCTATGGACCAAAGCATATCCCTGTCTGTGGACGTCTGGACGTATTGTGTTGATCTTTTTGTTATAGTATCTCTTCTTTTCAGGTCCTCTGATTAATAAAAATCAACTAAATGTGACAGAGTGTGATATCATGCCTTGGGAGAACATCAGTGAACACCAGAAACAAGGTCTCTTCACATACTATAAGGCAGGATGTAACTGCACTGTGAGTAGTCCTCTCAGCTGTTCCCACAGCTGAGGATTTGTTGGTTATTTCTCTTTTCCTACTGTCTGCTTCACGTCTTTGCCTCTTGCTCCCCCAACCTGAAACTTCCTCTTCTCTATTTAGATCAGCTCTCTGTTCTCTGGCACCTCCCACGCTTCTTTCTAATGGGATGGAACTGAGAACCGGGAGGAAAAGTGATGAGCTTTGCTACGATTTCTCCACTCTCCAGATACTGCCCAAGAAAGAAAGAGCTTCAATTGGTGAACCAGTCCGGGCATGCCTTTGGGACAACTCCTACCTCAAACCCATGGAGTACTCACACTTTTACAATACCGGTGCCTGCATCCCTGTGTCTCCTTTGGTTTGCCAATGGAAAAATATAAGTGAGCCCAACTAACATCTCTCTTTATTTCTCCCGTGTCTTGTCATCTCATGCATTTCCAAATATCTGCCCAAAGACCAGGAGACTCATGAAGAACACCATTCTCGTAAAGCTCACAAAACACTCCAAGCGTTTTAGTTATCATCTTTTTAGGATGTTCTTCAAAGGCTGTTTCGTCATCAGAGTGCTGCAATGAGGGGTGTGTAACCTTTGTCCAGATCCATAGACATGGGCATTTATGATGTGCACATATTTTGTTATGTAGTTTCTGCATCAAATATCAATAAACTCCAAAGAAATGGCTGCATCCTTATCCTGTTTACAGATCCTTTCGGCACCTATAATTCTTCTTCTCTCCTCCCTGGGCTCTTCTTCATTGAGGAATAACTTCCATAACCATGCTCCTTGTTACCCTGAAGCATGCTGTCTCTCATTCTGCTTCTCCCTTAACGGCATAAGACATGGGGACTAAAGAAGGTGCTAGATACAGAGATCTCTGAGAACTGACTAGACAGGTCACGTTATAAAACTTCCTTAAAGATCTTTGGGATGTAAAAATACCTATGGGTTGGGGTCCAGGGAGAGGACTGAATGTGTGCAAGGCAGAGTCTTAGGTTGGCCCTGTACCTCCCCAGAAAATACATACAAGCCTGAACAATTGGTCCTGGGCAGTCTGAGGACCAGAGCCAGGCCTAGCGTGCCCTCCACAGGTCTGTGACATCCCTCGTTGTGTCTGGCCCTGAGATTGGAACTGGAGGATTGGCTTCCTATGTAGTGGTCAGAGGATAAGGATGCTGTTAGTGCAGGACAAATGGGTCATGAGAAAGCAAATGAGGCCTCTATCACATAGACATATTTAAGGTTGAGTCCAAGTTCTTCTCTCATAATAGCATGGAAACTGACCCAGGGTGAAGCTTCTGTAGGGACAGCGCTAGGTGTAAGATAGAGTAGGTACATATTCACAATCACCCACCTGTGTGTAATCTCATGACTAGTCCTGGATATGCACTGAGTAGGGGAGCAGGGGGCAGACCATCCCTGGAACGTCTGTCCAGTCCAGAGGGGATGGCCCAGTTGAGACCACAGGCTTTATCCTCTGTGTGACCTTCAGAGAGTTCCTGCCTGTCTATTGGCTTGTACCTGGTGAAAGCCATCATTGTCACCACAGCCCCTTCTCTATTCCTTACTGTAAAATGGAGGTGCTCTTCTTCCATTATTCATTTGCATTATGATACCATGTAGCAATAATTAGTGCCACACTAGAAAGTCCTGTTACGCTCTGTCATCACGTGGATGTAGGGATAAATATGATGCTTTATTGACATTATTGTCTTTTCAATTTTTATAATTCTAATTAATAGTATTTAAATGTGCAGATGTTCTTGTAGAGTAGGGTAAGAAAATCCTTACAGCACATGAGTTTTTATGAGTTTTAAATTAGTTAGAACCCTCGTTGTAGAGCAGTGCTAATTACTGGTATAATTTTATTCCTCATAAGTAATAGCGACAGTAATGTGAGGGAAGCAGAATAATGGCCAATAATGGCCCTTGAAGATGTCCAAATCTTATTTCCTAGAACCTGTGAATGTTACCTCATGAGGCAGGACAGCCTTTGCAGATATAAGTAAGCTTAAGGATATTAAGAATGGGAGATTTTTCTGGACAACCTGCATTGGTGCCATCTCGAGGGATCCTACAAGGGATGGTGTAACTGAGCTGTAAGGAGCCCCCTCAGCTGTTCCTGAACTCCAGGGCCTGTTGCTTATTTTTTTCTTCTCATTGTCTGTGTTCTCTACCTGTTTTTTTGCTCCCTAAATCTGAAACTGATCCTTTTATAGACTACTTGGATCTGCTTTCTGATCTCTAGCACCTGCCACACTTCTGTTTTCTAAATGGGTTGGTACCCAGGACTGGGAAGGCTGGTGAGCTCCACTAGGCATGGCTTCTCCACTCCCTAGGCAAAGCATAACTCTTCCATGATTCCTGGCTAAGACATAATTCAATTCTGCCTGGCTTGACACATACAGTCCTCATACATGTGGAGACCAGCACCACCATGTCCCCTGGTTTCTGCAAATGGGTAATATAAATAAGGCTATCCAGCATATCCCTCCATTTCTTGTGGGACAAGCCTTCCAATGAAGATTCAAAAGACCCACCCAAAGACCACAAAACTCCCAAAGAACTCGTCGCTCAAGAAGCTCATAACCACCTCCAAACATTTCAAATTTCGTCATTCTTGGAGTGCTGTACAAAGACTATATCTTGATCTGGGTGCTGCGAAAGAAGTGTGTATCCTTTGTCAAAATGTGTAGACGTGCATTTCGAATGTGAACAGATTTCTTTATTTCTATTATGCATCAATAGATTTCTAAAAAAATCAAGCATCAATAAACTACAAAAAATGAGAGAAAACTCACCCTTGTAAGATCCTATCTGCTCCTTCATTCAAAGCCTGTTTTATGCCGTCATACTCTCCTTCATCCAATAATTCCATCCTTAACCGTGTTCCTTCTTATCTTGAAGCAGGGTCGCTCTCACCCACTGAGGGCATAAATCCTGGGCCTAAAGAAGGTGTTGGATCCAGAGATCTCTTGGATTCTACCAGACAATACATGTCATGAAACTTTCGTAAGGGTATTTGGGATGTAGAAAGGACAGTGGTGGTGTCAAGGAAGGGGCCTTTGGATGTGTGGAGGGACAGAGTTCTAGGTGGGCCCTCTATGATCCCAGGGGATACATACAGGCCTGGACAGTGGGCCTGAGAAGTGAATGCAGCCTGAGGGGCAAGGTCAGGACAAATGTGTGTATGTGTTTCAAGGGTATGGTAGTTTTTCCTCAACATGCCTGTGACATCCTTCCATGTGACCGGCCCTGGGAGAGGAGTGAGGAGATCAAGCTCCTGTGTAAGGATAAGGGATGTGAAGGCTGCCAGTGAAGGGCAGATGGGTCAAAAGAAAACAGAGGAGGCCCCCATCACTTGGACAATCTTAAATCTAAATTCAGACTCTGCTCTGACCCAGGGTGAGGCTGCTGTATGGCCATCCTGGGGTTAGGGTGGAATGAGGTACATAGACACAATCACTGCCCTGTGTGTAATCTCATGACTAGTCTTGGAGAGGCACTGGGTAGGGGAGAACCTGGGGCAGACCATCCATGGAGTGTCTGCACAGCCCTGAGAGGAGGGCCTGGGTGGGACCATAGGCTTTGCCCTGTGTCACCTCCACAGATCACCTTCCAGTGCATGGGTTTGTGCCTGGTGAAAGACATCACTGTCAGGACAGCACCTTTTTGGTTTCCTCATGTGAAATGGTGCCCTTCTCATTGTTCATTTGCATTATGCTGCCTTTGTAGCAGTAGTTAGTATCACTTTTTGACAATCTTGTTGTGCTCTGCCATCAACTGTGAAATAAGCAGAAATGTGATGCCTCATTGACATTATAATTATTTTTTACCAACATAATTGCAATTAGTACTGCTATAAACAGGAAGATGTTTTATAAAATAGAGTTAGATAATCCATATTTTAAAGTATTTTTTGAGAGACCTAAAAGAGGTGTAACCTCATTTATAGCATAATATTAATTATTGTTACCATATAATAACTACAGTATTTATTTTAAGTAAATTAACAAAAGTAATACTAGAGTCACATTTATTATGTGCTGGACACTGCTCCATGCCCTTCATATTTTTAATAGTTTAATTATTTAGTAATTATGTAATTACTCATAACTATCTTGGAAGTAAAAATTATTCCCATTTTAAATGCAGAACCATAAGGAACACAGGTGATACCCTAGATTTGATCCTAGGGTAGTTTGAGGTTGACTTCTATTCTTTTTGATACTGTTTCTTACAGAAACTTGTTACAAGTTTCTAGTATCTATGATTCATCCATATCACATTGATACAATGTTGGTGATGAAGCCAGCAAGGTCAGCTGAGAAGACGCACTTTCATAAGTTCAACTTGAGCAAGGTAAATCCTTTAAGGCTTCCCCAAACTCGTATCCCCAAGACACCCCCCACCTTGACTCTGCTGTCGCTGAGGGTGCGTGGAGGGTCTCAGGTCTCCAGCAGGTCCTGTTGAAATAACAAGACTCTGGCCTCTCACCCCACAGAAGCTCTTCAGGCCAGCTTCATGAATTCCTTTTCTCCTCATAGAGGATCAAAAGCTTTGAAAGAACATTTGCTATCTTCTAATTAGCTACATCAGTGATTCTGTGTGAGAACACCAATGAGGCAGAATACCCCGGCAAAGATTTCCTCACATGGGATATTGACCCATACCAATACCCTTCCCCTGCAGGAATCCCTCTACATGGCTTCCATTCACAGATCTGGTAACACAGAATCCTTCACATCAGGCGCTCTGCTCTGAGTTGTCCTCAGGACATTGTGCTGGCAGAATGTGCAGTCTTTATGGATTCTTTATCTGCCTCAGGGTGTGCTGAGCCTCTGAAACTGCCCACTGTAAACCATGTGTGTCCTTTTGTGGGTCTATCCAGGCACGTTGTGCTGGCTCTAATGGCGTACCATGTGTTCCCTCAAAGTTATCTGCATAACAAGGAACTATATTTTAATATGTGCCATATGGATTCCTAGGAGGTGCTCCTTTTTGAGCAAAACCAATGCTTCCTGGTGGGGTAAAGGTAGGAGGGAACTGTGCCTTAAGCATCCCCCAAAGCTGTTCCTGCAGCTCTCAGACTGTCACTTATGTTCTCTCCCCATTCCCTGCTGCTTTTCCATCTTCCCGTTCCCTGCTTTCTCTTCATCTCCCTGGATTCTCTCACTGGCCCTGCACTCTCTCCTCTTACCCAGTGCCACTCATCATCCCAATCTCTTTGACCATGTTTCCTGATCTCTCTCTCTGCTTTCTGATCCCATTGCAATCTGTGCATCTGTTGTCTGTTCTTTCTCCCTGTTCCTCTCCACCTTACTCTCAACCTGTCACCATCTCCCTGCTCTGTGGCTTCACGGTGGCTTCATTTCATCCTCTCAATACCTGATTCACTTCTCTTCTCTAATTAGAGGAGACTACAGTAACGGAGAGCAAAGGAGAACTGATTTTGCTGTACTTTGAGTCCTGTGGATAGATTTCAAAACTCATATGGGTTGCTGCTTTCCTGAATTCCTGCCCTGTCTATGGGCTCTGTCTGCTGGAAAACATTGAGTTCATTCATTTGTCCATGATCAGTTCCTGCCCACCCTCTCTACCTGGTCACTGTGAATGGGACTACATAAATAAGAGCCTCATGCATTTCACTCCGCCTCACTCAACTGGTGAGTTGTCTTAAT